AAGCTTAAAAAAAAACACCAAACAACAAACAAAAAAATTAGAATAAAAAGCAGAAAGCACCCCTCCCTGTAGCCTCTTGGTCTTAGTTTTATTCCCTAAGTCATATCCACCCCCCCTTCCAGTTCATGATTTTTAGTGGTAGGCTTAAAGATCTAGAAATGTTTGAGACAAAAGACAGACAGACACAATTACACACAGTTGTCTCATTAATGTTCAGGTACTTTTCCAAACTTTCCATGATAGACCCACACAGGATTCAGCCCCATGGCTGGCTGTGAACTTCTCCCCAGACCTTGTCTTCCAGGGAGCTCAGGGCCTGGGAATCCAGACAGCATTCTCAATTCCCACATAGGAATGTAGCTTTTAAGAGAGAGGTTCCTCCAGATTTTTGAAGTTGTAATTTCTGCATGATAGTCTCTCTCCTAAAATGCCTGTCCATGAGTGTTTGCTTATGTTTTATGACATCTAGGAAGTAAGTAGACTTTTTTTTTTCCAAATCTACTTGGAAAAAAGGACCAAAAGTGGTTTGGGGAATGTTGTTGAATACTTTCCAGGATGGTTTTTATAAATTTTTTTGTTTTGAGACTGGGTTTCTTTGTGTGTAGCCCTGGTTGTCCTGGAACTCACTTTGTAAATCAGGCTGGCCTTGAACTCACAGAGATCTGCCTACATCTGTCTCCTAAGTGCTGGCATTAAAGGTGTGTGCCACCATGCCCAGAGGTTTTTATAATCTTAATTCTCTCTCTCTCTCTCTCTCTCTCTCTCTCTCTCTCTCTCTCTCTCTGTGTGTGTGTGTGTGTATGTGTAGTTCAGAGTACCATGTTAGATGTTGGTCCTCACCTCCCACCTTTTCTGAAACATGATCTGTCTTGTTTGTGTACCCTAGGCTAGCTGGCCCTTCAGCTTCCATGCACTTCCCCACATCCACTGCCAAGGTCTCCAGAAGAGAACCAGGGTTTCAGACGTGCTCCTGTCTCTGGCTTTCATGTAGGTTCTGGGGATCTGAATCAAGTTTTAGGCTTGTAGAGCAATCGTTTCCCTCACTGTGCCATCTTCCTTGCCCACAGCATGCTTCCTTCTGAAACCAGGGGACTCAGTGACACAAGGACTGGACACTTGGTGCTGTCCACATGGAGATGGGAATGTTGAGGGCTTTAGGAAGTCTCACACTTAAGCGGAACATGTTGCAGACTCTGAAGACATACACACTGCCTTACTTTCTCAGTGAGGGTGGACTGTCATTTACAATATATACCTAAAATCCACCCTTATATGCTCTTCCAGTGAGTTTGATAACCTTAAAAAAGCAGTATATAATTGCAGGCATTTTCCTTTGCTAACTGGTTGTTTCATAACAGATATTGTCAGTCTTTACTAGATCTGTGTTATATGAAACACCAGACACACAATTGCATCCACCATCATATATATCCTTTCCTGCACATAACTATGGTAAAGTTTCATTTAAACAGCATAGCAAGGGATTGGGGATTGGCAACAACAATTACTGACAAAACAGCAGCTGTAACAGCATACTAGCAAACGTTATTTAAAACAAATCATTCAATTCTGGATTTTTCTACGTAGCATTTCTGGACTGTGGTTGACTTTGGGCAACTGAAACCTTAGAAATTGAGCTGTGGTCATGGAAGGGTTACTTTATTCCTCTTCATGTATAAAAATCTCATGACACTCTACTTCTGCTCCCCTTTTTTTTTCTGGCAAATGTCATAACTTTGGTTGAATCTGTTTCCAATGGAGAATCTTCACTCGCTTTCTATTGCTGACAAAACAAACGACTAGTTTAAAACAGCACAGTTGTCTGGTGGCTCTAGAAGTCAGAAGAGCAAAATCACACTTACTGCTCTAACGGCCACGCACCTGCAAGCCTGAATCCTTCCTGAAGCTATGGGGTGTGCCAGCCTCTTCTATCGTCTATCTAGTCCATGATAGATGAGCCCGCGTCCTTGTCTCATGTCTACTCCCGGTGTCTCTCCAACCTCCTCCTCCTACTGTCATTTTATCTGACTCACTCACTCTGCCTCCTCTCAAATGACCTTCTGAGCCCAGCAGAGCAGCATATCTAATCTAGGACAATGTCCCCCTCTTTTTTTTATTTTATTTTATTTTTCTTTTTAGTTACATTTTGTTAACTCTGTGTCCCAGCTGTATCCCGCTGCCTCATTCCCTCCCCAACCCCACACTTCCTCCCTGGTCTCCTCCCTGCCCCTTCCCAAGTCCACTGATAGGGGAGGACCTCGTCCCCTTTCATTTGACCCTGTTTTATCAGGTATCTTTAGGGCTGGCTGCAAAGTCCTCCTCTGTAGCCTAACAGTACTGCTCCTCTCCTGGGGGGGGGGGGGATCAAACAGCCTGCCCTTGAGATCCTGTTAGAAATAGTCCGTGTTCCCCTTACTTTGGAAAACTACTTGGTTACTGAGCTACCACTGGCCACATCCGAGCCGAAGTTCTAGGTTATATCCATAGATGGTCCGTGGTTGAGTGTCAGTCTCAGAAAAGACCCTGTGCCCGGATATATTTGGTCCTTGTTCAGCTCCTATCCTTTCCATATCATACTAACTTCCCTTCTTTCATATGATTCCCTGCACTCTGCCGAGGGTTTGGTTATGAGTCTTAGTGTCTGCTTTGAAACACTGCTAGGTAGAGTCTTTCAGATGCCTTCTGTGGTAGACTCCTGTCATAAGTTCAATGCACATCCCATTTGTCTTTCTAAATGAGGATTAATCACCTTCGCCTGTGTCCACTTTCTTGATTATCTTCTTTAGGTGTGTAGATTTCATTATGTTTATCATATCCCAGCTATACCACTGCTAGGTATATACCCAAAATTTGCTCAAGTACACAACAAGGACATTTGTTCAACCATGTTCGTAGCAGCTTTATTTGTAATAGCCAGAACTTGGAAACAACCCAGATGTCCATCAACGGAGGAATGGATACAGAAATTGTGGTATTTTTACACAATGGAATACTACTCAGCAATCAAAAAGGAGGAAATCATGAAATTTGCAGGCAAGTGGTGGGATCTAGAAAAGATCATTCTGAGTGAAGTATCCCAGAAGGAGAAAGACAAACTTGGTATATACTCACTTATATAGACCTACAAGATATGATAAACACAATGTCCCCCTCTTAAGATGATTAAATCACACCTGAGAAGTCTCTTTCACTGTTGACAGTCACAGGCTCTGGGGTTTTGTGCGTGGCAGTGTACCACAAGAACATTCTTGTTCTTTTGGTATAATGATCAATTGATATTTTAATGTATAGATGCTTATATAAACTACATTCTGCCCTCTTAGAGGCTATTTCCAGGGATCTGAATTCCTTTTAGAAACAGATTTTTATCTACTAGCTTCCTTTTGCTGAAAGGAAGACATAGGGCAGGTGTGCACGTGTGAGTTTTTCAGCTTTGGTGTAGCAGAAAGCCTGCCTTTCACAGTTACTCTTGAAAAATAATTTTGCTGGGTATAGAGTTTTACATTAACAGACTTCTTTCTTTCAATACTCTAAGAAACTGCTCCACTCTATCTGCTTGCATTGTTTCTAATGAACAACAATGCACTCACTATAGATTTGTCTTTAATCACCTTTGACCTCCTTTGACCTGTTGTCTGAACATTTTCATCTAATTTGACAAGTTTCAGCCATTATTCATCATTCTCACCTTCTCTCTATCTCCTTCGAGACAACACTTTTATATTTAGTAGGGTATTCTTGTTCTGTTCTATTTTCTTTTTCTCTTGGTATTTCATTTTTAAATAGTTTTGGTTGCTTTGTGTTCAAACTTACTAACCCCCTCTTCTCATGATGTCTAATTAGCCATCAGTCTTGCCTAGGAGAACCTTCATCTAAGAGTTTGCAGTATTCTTTTCCAGAAGTCCCAAGTAGATACCACTTCTGTAATCCATGCATGCACTTAATATGTCCTAGTATTATGATTGTTATTCTAATGTCCTTGATGTGGGTAATTATACTATCTACATCATTTCCTGGTCAGTTTTTATTGAGTCTCCCTCAACATGAATGCATTTTCTTTTTCTTTGCATATATGTCAGTTTCGTTGTTGTTGTTGTTGATAACGGCCGTGGCTTTGGAGTAATGAACAGTTTTGTATTTCTATTATCTGAATGTCATTTCTAAAACTTGGTTAACGTTAAAACTTAAAACTTGTGCACGATGTATGTACGACACTATGTGTGCACAGGAGCAAAATCGGAGATAAGCACATCCCTCTTGGCACTTTTTATACGTAGAACTGACCAAGCCATAGGCCTCACTGTTTGTGGTGCAGTGAACAAATCTGCACTGGGGGGGTGACTACACTTGGCTCCAAGTCCTCACGCTGTTAGCAACATACTAATCAAACCATTTGGGACGGTAACTGAGTCTGACCAAGCTCGAGGTAGACTCAGGGAGTTCTAATAAGGGCTAGTAGGGCTCATGCAAGCCAGGGTTTTAGGATCCACCATATGGGTACTGATTGGTCAGCGCTGTTTATGGATTTTCATTATTCCAAAATTAATTTGTTACTTAACTAAATGGTCTCCATCTGACATCCTCCAATGTGGACTAGTTTTTAGCTCTCTTCCTTAGCTGGGCAGGGTTTGAAATCATGTGACGTCACTCCCTTTCTAAGCTGTCTGACTGGATTTCCTTTGTCTTAAAGATTGCATGCTAAAACACCAGGCTACTGGTGTCTGTAGCCTCAAAACACCCCCTTCAGAGCGAGCCATGTGCAGGGCTGTGAATGGACAGATGCTTGTCAAAGTGTGTGTGGTGTGTTTTCATGGTTGTTATATGGGGCACACCTGTGCAAGTGCCTGTGAGGATGTGTGTGTGTGCACATGCCCTCATGCCTATGTGGAGAAAGGGTCTCATGCATGTTGACGTCTGAGACACCCATGACCTCCTGCAGAATCCAGACCTGCAGAGGGGCTTGTTCGTCTTCCTAAGGCCGCCCTTCCCTGGTGGCTTACCTCCATGTTTCTGCAGAAGGTAGCATTGGTGCCAAACAGGATCTGGCACTGCTCATTGGCACTGTAGTGCATGCCTGGCAGCTTGTGTGGAAGGCGCAAGGCATGCTGGCTCCTGGGGTCAGTGATCAGTAAGCAGGTACTGACTTTGGATCTGAAAAAGCCAAGAAGCAGATCAGTCTCCAAATGTACTAGCCCCATCTTTGTTCAGAGTTGTCAGTCTCTGAGAAGGATGTACCTCATGATTAATGGGGCAATGGCCTCAGCACTGGGCACTAGGATTACCCTTTTGGTGTGTGTGCATTTTTTTACTAGATGGATAAATGTGGGTCTCTCCTCCTCTGAAAACAGTGTAGAATGGACCACTTGGTAGAACCCTGGGAACTGCTTTGATGAAACAAGAGGACTTTCTTAGGAGAGATTGATGAAATTCTTTTTGAAATTAGCATACTGTGAATCACCTTGGAATGAGACTTTGAGCAAAAGTAGTTATGAACAACAAAGAATATAAGTTTAGATTGTTTTATTTTAAACAGTTCAAAGTGGTGTTGTTTTTTTTTTTTTTTTTTTTGATAGGATGGCATCTCTCTGTGGGATTGCTGGACCAAAGCAAGTATGCCATATTTGGTATCTCACTTGACCATACCTATCCTGCTCTCACAGAAGGCAGGCTAGGGCTCTCGCTGCCTAGAACTTCCAGATTTCAACTAGGGAGGGAATGCTCATTTACAATGGGAGATACATTTCCCCAGAGGGGCCTGTTAGGAGATAAAGTGCTCAATGCTTTTATTTTCTATCCTTACAGCAAGGCAGATGAAACCGGACACTTGTCCAAGCCCTTTAAGTAAGGAGCTTAATGCATGCATATATTGCGTGCTCTCTCTGTACACACACACACCTGAGGCTAGTCCACAGCTTCTAGGCTCATTAGGAAGCCATTTGTCACCAGTGGATCCAGTACTATGCACCTGAGTAAATGTCACTCTGACCCTTCTGGGAGAGATGAAGTAACACCAAGTGGCTTACAACATTTTATTAGGAGTCTGTGATTATGGCACTCAGTGGACGTAGACTACCTTAAAACCAGTACATTCATTTCTCAGCCTATTTACTAAATAGCCTTTCCATCCACAGGGAACAGGTAGAAGACCCTTTAACTATTTTAGCCCACTTTCCCTGGGTATTAGAGCTGGCCTGTCAAACTCTACCCACCAGTGAAACCTACTGACTCACTTCTATTTCCTCTTCATGTGGATTGTGGATTAACACAATGAAGTGGGGAAATGATCAGGACCCATAAAACAACACTGTAAATACAGACCTAAAGTAGGGCAACAGGGACCAACAGGGACCGTGGGTATTCTTGCTTTAACAAGGGTCTAAAACCAGATTGGAAGCTGTTCCCCAGAAATCTGAGAATTAAGAAATACAGACGTTCTCTGGGAAGTGATAGGCTAATGAGAGATGTACACCCTTTCCCCCATAAAGGAGGGAAGGATGCAAACTCATCCCCCAGCAAATTTACTTCCATCAAAGGAAACAGCGTCAGCAAGCAGCAGGTTCTCAGTTCTACAGCAGCCAAGTTGTCCCTATGAAGGGACACTCATGTGCCCACTCATAGTCACAGATCGGTAGAGTCACTGGGTTATTGTTTCATTCAACCAATCATTTAATGATCCCCTACTGGACACCCAACACCATAGCAGGTGCAACCTCAGGAAAAGGCCTTTGCCCATTACACTCCACACTGACCATCTTCCAAGCCAGATGAGGGTCCATCCAAAGGTTCACGTCTCACCCTTGTGGAGTTGCCCATCTTTTGGTCTTTCGGAAACACTTCCTGTGGTTGGTGTTACAGAATGACTCAAGGACTTACTTGAGAAAGTTCTCGAGGTCATCTCGACTACAGGAGGACCAAGAGAGGTCACTGGGGTTCCGGCCTTTTACCCACTCTCCCGACATGATGTGTGACCGGCCGGCACAGGAAGAGTGGTCATCGTCATGGTTCATTCCCAGACTGTTCAAAGAGAAAGAGAAAGAGTGTGGGGTGCTGTGCCTTATTTCTAGGTCCTGGGTCAAGCTTAGGTCAAGTTTAAAATACAACAAGTGATGTAAATAGGGGTGATAATCTCACACCCCAGATCACAGCCAGGAGTTTGTACAGAAACTGAGTTGGTTTGATTACAGAGTGTAGGAAAACGGAGCATAATGACGTTAATAATGAGTGAACGAATGAATGAGTTTTTAAGCATGATACTTAATGATGCCAGTTAATAAAATCTAACCTTCTGATGATCTGACCTGATATCTCACAGATCATTAACTGGCCTAAAGTTTTGTACTCATTAGAAACAAACCACACAATGCTGAGAGCCAGTGGAAAACACCCGAGACTGAGTTACTGAAGACTGTGGCTTCAAGGCCTTGAATTCAAGAGCAATTATGTCTTTGTTATCTTTCACAGCTCTCCATATTTTTGCTCGTTAGCTGAAAAATGTCCTCGTCCACGAGAAACAGGAGAGAAGATGCAGAATGACCCTCTTGCCTCATCAGCCTCTCACCTTCCTTGTCAACTGCACCTCAGGGACACTGGGAGGTACTTCTAGGTGGGGGTCTGACCAATTCTGACCTAAACAATGCCCGTGGTTTATCCATGTGCCCACACTGGTGAGCTGAGCTGAAGAAAATGGCTTGTCCACAGCTTGATGGCAAGGATTTCCAGGAAAGAAACCCAGTGCACTTGAGGAAGCCCTTAAGCCCTTTAATTTTTTAATTTTTTTTTTCTTGGAGGAGGGCAGTTAATAATTACAAGGAAAAAATAAAATCGTTAATTTTTGACTCATTCAAAAATATTAGATGTTTCTCAAGTGCCATGAAATGTACCTGACCAAGATGGACAAAAGACATCATCCCTAGGGTGGTACAGGCCTGTGATGCCAGCACTCTGGGGAGGTGGAGGCAGGTGGATCTCTGTAGGTTCAAGGCCAGCCTGGTCTACAAAGCAAGTCCAGGACAGACAAGGCTACGCAGAAAAACACCATGACTCGGGGGAAAAACAAAAACAAAACAAAAAGATGTTTATCTCTGGTAGCAGAGATAATGATAATGAGGGGTACCAAATGCTCTCTCTGAGCCCAGATCCCTGCTTGCCTCTCAATATGCTTCTGCTTGCACCCCTAGGCCAAGGTCTCCCCAGGATGCTGCCTCATCCTTTTTAAATTCCTATTAGCCACTGCTACACTCCGTGTGTGTAGATGTTACCTTGGCCTGACTCCAGCCAAGGCCACACCCTCTGGAGAACATACTGCTTGGTGCTCAGACATCCTGGGTCTTGGGCTAGCATGGTTTATCCATCTGTTCTTCCCAGCTGGAGATGGTTTACTGTATTCTCCAACCTTCACATGCCAGTGATACCCATTACCTCAGTTCATACACGGGATTTCAGGCTGTATTAATCAATGAAATATGGGAGTAAAGGTAAAGTTGTTTTCATGAGAACTAATTTGACTGGTAACTAAAATACATGGCTGCCATGTTCTATGGGCATGCGCACAATGAAGGGTGAAGAATAAATCATACACAACTGGCCCCAGACTGCTTCAAAAGAGCCCTTACCGTCCTGCTACCTATAGAAATATGTATATGAAAGACACTGGAGTGGCTGCAGAGGTAGCCTGGTGGTAGAACACTGGCTTAGCATCCACAGGTCCTTGGGTTCAATAAGAGAAAGGAGAGGGGAAAAAAGAACAAGGCCAGTGTAAAGGGAGGGGGAGGAGACAAGGTTCCCACTTGCTTTAGGAGTATCCTAGGAGCAAGAAGCCTATAGTGAGTCCCAGTTGGCAGGTACCCTTAGTGGAAAGACTTTTTCCTCAATCACAAAACTGGCCCCCCCAAACAACAACAAAACTGCCAAACGAACAAGAACTGTTTATGATATAGTGAAACATTTTTATAAAGTTTAAGTTAAATTGTTTGTATCACCTAAGTATAATTTTTTGATGTTTCTCCAGCTGGACCAGTTTCCCAGGTAATGTTGGACCTGAAGAGCCAGCGCTGCTTTCTCCTGCTGCTGCTGGCCTGTGCCTCACAGCAGTGTTCTTTAGAGAGCTTCTCCTAGGAGCTCGCCTCCTCTTACCTAACCCAGCCCTCAGCACAGCTTCTCCACAGTACTGGCCTCCAGCAAACTCCAACAAATACTTACCAAATGGATTACCTCTTTGATACTGCATAATGTGCCTGAAATAGCAGATACCTCACCGTGTGATAGGTGTGTTAATTTCATATAGAGGCAGGCAGCTCATAGGATGAGAACAATCTCTTGTTGAATAATCTCCATCTACCTAGGTTGGTGTCAAAGGGAGGCCTAGGAAATGATTGAATAATCCTGTATAGTGAGAACAATTCAGATACATTCCTGTGATCATTTGGATGTATAAAGTGAGTTTTATCTTTCTTTCAATGCAACTCCTCTGCCTTTTCTGTTTTTAGTAAGTTGTTTTTCTTTTTGGTGGGCAACAGAAAATAAGTATGAATACTTTGTATGAATACTCTCAAATCACACAGAGAGATTAGCCAGACCCAAAGTTTATTCATCTCAGTGAACTTCTATATGGATAATTATACTATCTGACCATAGAAGTATTTATACAGCCATGTTACTGTTGCTTTTATTCACTTACTCATAAATGCAAAAAAAAAAAAAAAAAAAAAGGAGCCAACCTATTTGTTCTCCAATAGAAGAACAGACGATGGAAACATGTAAAATGGAATATTTAGCTCTAAAGAAATTTGAAACCACAAAATTTTCAGGAAAATGAATGGTGAATGGACTTAAAATGTATAATATTAAGTGAGGTCATACAATCTCATAAGGAAAAAAAAAAAACACATGTTCTCTCTTATATCCAGATCCTAGTCTGTAAGATATGTGTAAAAAATGAACGTGCGGGTAGAATATAGTATATAGAAAGGAGAACAGGAAAGGTAGAAGAGATGATGTGGAGTGGCTGGTGCGGGTGATGGACAGATGAGTCGTAAAAGAGGATATGAAAGCTGATCGTTTTCCTAGATTAAATTCTGTCCTGGCCTTTTCTTTGTTGCCGTTGTGTGGTGCATAAGTACAGAAACATAGAGTTGACAGTAGATGGGTTTTTAAGCAAGGATATTGTTTGGGACTATCACAGAGGAAAAAATGGTCCCTTGGTCTCTACCAGGATGGGAGGTTACACCCTGGACCTCATCACCTCCTATGGTGATTAAATCAGTTACAAATGAAAAGAGGTTCCTTGCCCCTCATTGTCAGATGGTCCTGGCCAGGGACCCTGGTCCCTCAGGAGACACACAGGATCATGATACAAGCACTCAAGAGAAGCCAATGGTGCTATCGACAAGCCATGCTCTTGATAGCACCTGTCTCTCCAGGAGCAGGACTCTTGCTGTGGGCATTTCCCTCTGCAGGCTCTCAGCAGCGGCCCTCCCAAAGGAATGTTCTAGTCAGCAGGGCAGCCAAGAGTGGGATTCTGGCTTTCTGGGGCTCATGTCTAATATGGCTCACACTTGATCTGGTTTGAAACATTCCAATACTAAGTGTCTCATAAGTTTACAGTTAGATGAACTGGCAATGGGCGGATGTCCTGGTACTTGAGGTTTGTATAAACTACTGTTTAGGTTATTTTTAGTTTAAATTAAAGATTACCTGACTGAAAATTCCATGTTATTTTAGGTTTGTGTCCCAGGGCATGTATTATTTCTGGCAACATTATATTTAACGAAAATGTGTGGCATTAGGCACACAGTCATTTTAACTCTAAATGACTGCGAGGTCGAGGGCACAGATGGGCCTCTCGTCACGTATGTCAGACACGATAATAACTGAATGGCTTTGGAAGGATCTTATCTTAAACAAAACAGCACACCTCTTCTGGATTTGATACAAGGAATCTCAAGGCACACCATAGATGGAGTCAAGAAGAACTCCCACAATGCACCACACCACTCAGGTCCAATGAGGAGACAGCTAGGGGTTCTAGACTCGGTGCAGCCGCTATGTTGGAAGCTTTGGATTCAGCCATCTCTGAGCCAACCTGTCCTTCAAAAGCTTTTGGGTTCTGATGAGAGGGAACAGGAGACAAGTCTGGCATTTCCTCAAAGCTGTCTCGGCCAGCTTGGGGAATGAATACTAGGGGTGGGATGAAGAGCACGAAGAGCACATGGAGAGACACTCAGTAGCACTGCCGTTCCATCAGATGGGATCAATAGCCTATCGGTGCTTGTGTCACTTGCTATAATGGGTAATATCATGGAGGGCAAAATGGATAACACATGCATAATGCATACCATCTCAGTGAATGAGTAATGAACTAACAGGAGACATGAGGTGTGTGAGTCATGTCTAGATCTGTGCACACGTGTTTTTGTCTTGCATTTGAATATACGTATAAGACGCTTACAGCAAGAGGGCCTTTAACTCCTTAGCAAAACTTCAACTAATTATGTTGAGATGGAGAAAAAAAAAAAGGTACGAAGAAAGGACACAGCATGGAGGATCTGTCCCCTCTCCTAGTCAGCAACACCTCTGCAGCTCAACTTCCTCATCCCTGAGTAAACACGGGGCAGCCATCTCCAGCCTGGTTATGATAAACTGGTTTTGAGCTATCCTTGATGAGTTTCAAGTCCACCTAAATCTAGCAACTTTGATTTCCAAGAAGCTTAGATTTAACCCCCACCTTGACATTAGTAACTGCTAGATCTTGCAGCCAATGGGAAAGGGGCTGGTTGATTTATTAGTTACACAAAACTCAGAATGTTAGGTAGGAATCTAAAGGCTAGCAAGGGGCATAAGATAGAACCAGACCCCCTGCCATCTCTACCTTCTAGACTCTGAGCTCCTCAGTGGTGCAGCCTTTTAATGGGCATGGGAAGCCAGGCCTAGCATTTCCTGTCTCTTTCTTCAAAGGCCAGTAAAGGGGGTGGGGATTAGCTGACAGCAGGAAGGGCTGCAGAAAGGGAGAACCTATT